GGGGGGGGCGGCATCAGAGCTCACTGGCAAATTGTCCGGTTGTGCTGATGATGGGGGGACGGGATCAGACCTCACTGGCTATGTTGTCCATTTGTAATCACGGCATGAGCCTCCCAGATTGAACCTGGCCCTCTCACAGACCTGTTCATAGCCAAGCATGAATGGCCAGGGCTGGGTTGGCGAACCAGGTTAATTCCTGGTTGGACTATTTCTCGAGCAGGACCCTTGCCTTTCGTTTTAGAGAGTAATTATTATGTCACATGAAATCAAATATCTATTATTTTTCACTATTGACAACATTGTTATGAACTTGTGCTGATAATAGTAGCTAGTCATAGTTATGAGTAGCAGTAGGATCATCATCCCCATCAGTGATGAACATGATAAACGCGGACTCGGCATCAATAATTAGCAGGTTTGAGGTCGCATTCGTAGTTGGGCATCATCATCATCATCATCATCATCATCTCATCGGCATCTGTCGGGGTCCTGCATCATGAGCGAAGCAAGAAGGAAGGAAAAGCGGGGAGGAGGAAAAGGAGGGTCAGGAGGGTGAGGAAAAGGAGGTGAAAGAGGACTAGTAGGACACGAGGATCGGAAGGAAGACGAAAAAGAGGAGGAGAAGCAGTAGGACGAGGGGCAGGGGAACGGGGGAAAGTAGTAGTGGTAGGAGGTCCAAGATTTGCTGTGGCATTAAGTGATGCGGTAGGAGGAGGAGGTGGGAGGACGAGGCGGGTTAAGAACAAGAACCGGGATCCAGTGGTACTGGAAGGAGAAGAGAGAGAATAAAGGGCGCGAAAGAAAAAGTTCACGGCAAGGAGGACGACGACGGCGAGATCAGAGAGGAGGGGTAAGGCGATGCCCCAAAGCAGTAGACGTAGGAGATCGAGGAGCCTTTGCCATAGACGCAACGTGATGTGGGAAGGAGATGAGGAGGCGGAGAAGGATGAAAGGAGAAAGATGACAAGGAGAAATCCCAAATGGTGAGGAGGAAAAGGGCAAAATGAGTGGAAAGTAAGAAAGTAGCTGATGAAAAGGAGGAAAAGAAGGGAGGAGGAAAAGGAAAACACGCCTTACAGAAAACGGAAAATAGCCGAGGAAAAGGAGGAAAGAGGTCGACAGTGAAAAGAATTGTGTAGGCAAAGGAGGAAAAAGGAGAAACGGGCAAGCAAAGGGAGGAAAAGTAGGACTGCAGACAAAGGATTCTTGCCTTGCGGAAAATAGCCAAGAATGGCCTTCGGGTATTGTCGCAGGAAATCGAGCACTTCCTGATCGCTCGTCAATGTCGTCCAGGCTGCTTCTAGCTGCCGTACTAGGAACTTTATGAACAATCCTGAGTACCCAATCGCCATAGCGTCGTAGTTGAACATTTCCCCGCTCCTTAAGAAGAGCTTGGTGCGTGGAAAATCCGCAATCTGCAATTTTTTCGTGAGCTTCAGGTTATGTCCTGCATCTACGGACGCGAGAGGCACTCTGTCCTTCACMGTCGGCGCAACCGTGACAAACAATCTATGAAGGGTTTTGCTTTTCTGCGACTCCCTTTCGAAGAATAACACGGAAACGATCTCTTGATCTTCGAGGAATTGAGGAAATGTGGTGGAGTTTAGGAGAGGGAGGTGGGAGTCGTCATACTCTTCCTCTGGAAAACTGGCCGGAGCAATTACGGCTCTCTCTTCTGCCTCTAGCTCTTCTTCCGTCAAATCGTTGTTGGCCTTTGACATTGAATACTCGTCCTCTTCTCTCTCGTCTGCCTTCCATCTCGTCCAATCAACGCCAACAATAGATTTGAGCGGATCGTCGGGATCTCGAAGCAGTCGAGGCCAATGCCCGCTCGACCACATTTTGGGTATCGTCAGCCACACCTCTCTCTTTCTCACATCCCACGATGCAGTTGAGGGGACCAACCGTCTGTATGTATTGACAGTTACTGCAAATGAGGGGTTCATAGGGCACTGCCACGTGTCAATCCCTGCTGGCTCCCCTTCTCTCGCCCTCGTCGTTTTGGACACAGTTGGCTCTTCGCCCTCCTCGTTTCCGTTCTCCACAACAGTTCTGTCCTCCACCTTCTTCTCGCTTTCCMCCGTCTTCTCCTTCTTCTCGTCCTCCTCTCTCACCATCGTCCCTCTCGATCCTCTTCCTCCCTTGCCGCCCTCCTGCTTTGTTTCTACCCCCTTTTCAATCCCCTCGTCCACCCTCTCCTTCTCCTTGTCCCCCCTCTTTTCCTCGATATCCTTTTTCTTCTTTTCCTCCGCCTCTGCCGTCTTCTCCTTCTCCTTCTCGCCCTCTTCCGCCTGTTCGATGGACCTTGTGTCCTTCATGTCTAAACTGTCGACGTGCTCCGAGTTGCGTTTGTGATCGCTCGCCATCATAGCTTCAGCATTTGAGGAAGATGGCGGTGGATGCCTCCTTTTCCGGTCGTCCAGCTTCTCGCTCGCCGAAAATGTGATCGACATGCTACGAACCTCTCTCGCAATCTATATCCACGGGCATTACAAAGCGAAGGAAAAGGATCTGCTTTCTCTGCGCCCACAACACTCTGGGAACCTTTGGTTGAGGACCTCCTTGCTGATCAGCGGCATGTCCTCCTCTTTCTACCAATCACTCTACTCCTGCACTGACTCCTCTTGGCTCAGCTTCCACTCCTCCTCCTCCACCTTCTCTCGCTGAAACTATTCCTCTTCCTGCTTGCCCTTCCCCTCCTCCCCCTCTTTCCGCTTGTTTTCCTCGTATTACTGTTTGTTTTCCTCTACCCCTGCGATCTGCTTCTGCTTCTTCTTCTTCTTCTCCTTCTCTTTCTTTTCCTCCTTCCACGGATGCCACCATGCGTGTTCCTTCTCCCACTATTCCTACCTTTCCTTGTGTTGTTTGTTCCAAGGGAGAGGCAGAAGAGTATTTTTTATCATTAGCTGCTGTATCCGAGGCACTGACATCATCATCAGCATGGACGAGGTTGAGAAGGATGATGGATGCAAGCAATAAAAGCAGCAAATGATCTCTTACTGGCCATGCTAGGCTCGTTGCAACGTGGAAGCTTCCTGCGCGTGTAACTGCAGTCGGGGTGATCGCCAGTCCCACTCTCCTCCTCCTCCGCCACGGGAGATGCGAGCTCGAGCAGACCATCTTCGTCATCATCTCTCTCTCTCTCTCTCTCTCTCTCTCTCTCTCTCTCTCTCTCTCTCTCTCTCT